AGAAGAAGGATTTTAAAGAAGAATTTGCTATATTTCCCCTATTTGGCCCCGCCCCTCAGGCCCCTAGGAGGCCAGACCCACCATTTATACAAAATTGATTCTTCTTCACCCAAGGATGCTGCACATCAAATTTTGTTAAAATCCGCTCAGTGGTTCATTACTAGTAGTGTAAAGTTGACGGACGACGGACGACAGACGACGGACGCAGGACGACGGACGACGAACGCTGCGGTATGGCATAAGCTCACCTTGGTCCTTTGGACCAGGTGAGCTAAAAACGTCAGTTGTTCTGGACTACTAATCTTTTAAAGGAACAAGAGGCCCAGAGGGCCTGTATCGCTCACCTGAATATGTTTAAAATAATTGGTATGAAGTAGGTGCTGTAAGTACATATGAAATTTCAGAAAGATCCATACAGTACTTGNGACCAAATATGGAACAAATCCTTTCATTCCTACAGAAGAAGAAGGATTTTAAAGAATTTGCTAAATTTCCCCTATTGGGCCCCGCCCCTCAGCCCCCAGGGGGGTCACACCCACGATTTATACAAAATTGGTTCCCCTTCACCCAAGGATGCTTCTGACCAAATATGTAACAAATCCTTTCATTCCTACAAAAGAAGAAGGATTTTAAAGAATAATTTGCTATGTTTTGTCCTATTGGACCCCACCCCTCAGGCCCCTGTGCGGACCAGACCCACAGTTTAAACAAAATTGGTTTCCCTTCACCCAAGGATGCTTCAGACCAAATATGGAACAAATCCTTTCATTCCTACAGAAGAAGAAGGATTTTAAAGAATTTGCTGTATTTCCCCTATTGGGCCCCGCCCTTCACCCCCCAGGCAGGCCAGACCCATCATTTATACAACATTGTTCCCCTTCCCCCAAGGATGCTTTTGACCAAATTTGGTCAAAATCTGCTCAGTCGTTCATGACTAGTGGCGTTTTAAAGGAAAAGTTGACGGACGGACGGGCGGACGACAGACGACAGACGCTGCGGTATGGCATAAGCTCACCATGGTCCTTCGGACCAGGTGAGCTAAAAATTGTAACAGAAGGATGGATTGCAGGACAGGTGGATGGATAAACAAGGACAGGATGTACAACGGATGCTGCACGACGACATGAACTTGGTGACTCAGACAAGATCAGCTTAAACATTCTTACCTCTACGTCATATGCATGGTTTTCACCCTACAACAGAAAAACAATGATAAACAATATTAGCAAAGAATCATCTCATTTGCAACAATAATTAAAATATTCATAACAGATTTGTTAACACATGATGTATCAATACCTTTACCTGCAATTTAAACTAAAGATGATGTCTGTGTGTTAGATTACTGGTGAAGTCCTGAGTGCTATATGTTACCAGTGATGTTCTGTGCAAGTCTGTGTGCTACATACATTATTCTCGTTGTCCTGTGTGAGTCTGTATGTTACATACATTATTATTAATGTCCTGTGTGAGTCTGTGTGTAACATACATTATTATTTATTGTTGACTTCCTGTGTGAGTCTGTGTGTTACATACATTATTGTTGACTTCCTGTGTGAGTCAGTGTGTTACATACATTATTCTAGATGTCCTGTGTGAATCTGTATGCTACATACTTTAATTGTTCTAGATGTCCTGTGTGAGTCTGTGTGTTACATACAGTATTGTTAACTTCCTGTGTAAGTCTGTGTGTTACATACATTATTGTTGACTTTCTGTGTAAGTCTGTGTGTTACATACATTATTGTTGACTTCCTGTGTGAGTCTGTGTGTTACATACAGTATTGTTGACTTCTTGTGTGAGTCTGTGTGTTACATACATTATTGTTGACTTCCTGTGTAAGTCTGTGTGTTACATACAGTATTGTTGACTTCCTGTGTGAGTCTGTGTGTTACATACATCAATGTTGAATTCCTGTGTAAGTCTGTGTGTTACATACATTATTGTTGACTTCCTGTGTAAGTCTGTTAATCACACCATTAGACAGCATCAGGATCCCCATCATGTCCCTCTCTGCCTCATACAATAACATCTCTGTACAGGTGGGGATTTCCTGGGTGGTTTACACTGGGGGCATCACCTGCAGTGAAATATATGTCCACAAAACTTACACTGGGGGCATCACCTGCAGTGAAATATATGTCCACAAAACTTACACTGGGGGCATCACCTGCAGTGAAATATATGTCCACAAAACTTACACTGGGGGCATCACCTGCAGTGAAATATATGTCCACAAAACTTACACTGGGGGCATCACCTGCAGTGAAATATATGTCCACAAAACTTACACTGGGGGCATCACCTGCAGTGAAATATATGTCCACAAAACTTACACTGGGGGCATCACCTGCAGTGAAATATATGTCCACAAAACTTACACTGGGGGCATCACCTGCAGTGAAATATATGTCCACAAAACTTACACTGGGGGCATCACCTGCAGTGAAATATATGTCCACAAAACTTACACTGGGGGCATCACCTACAGTGGAGAATATGTCCACAAAACTTACACTGTGGGCATCACCTGAAGTGGAATATGTCCACAAAACTTACACTGTGGGCATCACCTGAAGTGGAATATGTCCACAAAACTTACACTGTGGGCATCACCTGAAGTGGAATATGTCCACAAAACTTACACTGTGGGCATCACCTGAAGTGGAATATGTCCACAAAACTTACACTGTGGGCATCACCTGAAGTGGAATATGTCCACAAAACTTACACTGTGGGCATCACCTGAAGTGGAATATGTCCACAAAACTTACACTGTGGGCATCACCTGAAGTGGAATATGTCCACAAAACTTACACTGTGGGCATCACCTGAAGTGGAATATGTCCACAAAACTTACACTGTGGGCATCACCTGAAGTGGAATATGTCCACAAAACTTACACTGTGGGCATCACCTGAAGTGGAATATGTCCACAAAACTTACACTGTGGGCATCACCTGAAGTGGAATATGTCCACAAAACTTCAGCTTTAAATGGATTATAAAATTTCAATTGAATATGTGCATCATGCAGTTGATAATTTGCTTGAAGATTTTATTTACAGAAAGTGATACGTTCAGAAATGAAACGAAAGAATATTTTCCGTGATTAGAAATGTTCATAACCTTTGAAAAGAAAATCATGATATTTCTGTTTAAATTTGAAAAATATGTTTTCTATAAACCTTACCCTAATTGATAACTTACCTTGACAGAATTTGTGACAGTTGAGACACTGCCCTAATTGATAACTTACCTTGACAGTGTTTGTGACAGTTATGACACTGCCCTAATTGAAAACTTACCTTGACAGTGTGTGTGACAGTTGTGACACTGCCCTAATTGATACCTTCCCTTGACAGTGTTGGTGACAGTTGTGACACTGCCCTCATTGATAACTTACCTTGACAGTGTGTGTGACAGTTGTGACACTTCCCTAATTGATAACTTACCTTCACAGTGTTTGTGACAGTTGTGACACTGTCCTAATTGATAACTTACCTTGACAGTGTTGGTGACAGTTGTGACACTGCCGTAAAAGTCTTTGATAGCAACAACTATATCCACTTTGTAGTCATTATTAGGATTCCCATCACCCAGCATCACCTCCGGAGCTGTAGCCCACGATCCCAGTACACGGAAAAATGGAGTCATCTTGTACTCCCTACTGGTGTTCATGGCAAAGTAAAAGGTGAATTCATAGTTGCGGGTGTATTGTTGGTCTATGGTGCTGTCTCTGGCCTCCTGATCCCCTTCATCAAGCCAGCCAGTGCAAGACACGATAAACTTACTTCTGAAAGCTGTCCCTGTGGTGATAAGAGAATCAGTAAACTGTGTAGAAAGATAGAGGTTATATTACTTCAAACGGGTCATAAGTCTTGTGTTGTCATTTTATTTATAGACTATTTTGTTCTTACACTTCCATATCAATACTTCATAGGTGTGTGCTAACAAACGAAGAAACAAATACAAAAATTTCAAACGAGAACACTGACCATCAGGGAGAACACTGACCATCAGGGAGAACACTGACCATCAGGGAGAACACTGACCATCAGGGAGAACACTGACCATCAGGGGAGCCCTTTTGAGTACATGCTGCACTACATACATACAATTTGTATAACGACTCTTCAAAATTAGGTACAGAAGAATGCCATGACACCTGACAATATACAGAGAGATTCCTATGGGGGTTACAACTGAACAACAAACCAGTGTATGTGTTACTGTTAAATAACAACAAACCAGTGTATGTGTTACTGTTAAATAACAACAAACCAGTGTATGTGTTACTGTTAAATAACAACAAACCAGTGTATGTGTTACTGTTAAATAACAACAAACCAGTGTATGTGTTACTGTTAAATAACCACAAACCAGTGTAGGGGTTACTGTTAAATAACAACAAACCAGTGTATGTGTTACTGTTAAATAAC